ACAGACAGACATACCTACATACATACATACATACATACATACATACATACATACATACATACATACATACATACATATATATATATATATTTATTTATTTATTTATTTGTTTAGTTATCTATTTGTTTATTTATATTTACATTTGTATACATGTATAAGTGTGTATATATATACATATACACCTGTTTATACCTACATGTACATATACATACATGTATATATACATATGAATACATATACATATATAAGGAGGATAGGGTGCATACATGCATACATGCATACATACAAAAATACATACACACATAGGTTCTTGCTTATATACATGTATGTGTAGATATATATATATATACATATATATATATATATGTATGTATATATAATACCTAAATGTATGTATATATGTATATGTATACCTGTGTGTATGCACGCATGCATGCATGCATGCATGCATGTATGTATGTATGTATGTATGTATGCAAACACAGAAAACCAGACACACACACATGTGCATATTCATGTGGACATACATGGGTGCGTACGCACATGTCTGTGTGCTTCTATATGTATGTGCATCTATAAATAGATCAAAACATATGTGTGTACATGTATGCATAACTTGTGTATGCATACCTGCCTGTATACGTTTGCACGTGCATACGTAAGTGTGTGCATATACAGCTGCAAGTATGCATATGGCGAGTCGGAGCGTGAGAGCGTGAACCCCTATAGAAAGGAGCCTAAAGGGACCCTAAGTAAGAGAACCACTCATGTCGGGTTGCGGATTCATGCAGACTCAATCTGCCGGCTAGCGGCATGGGCACTTGCGAGTGGGTGCCCCACTGATTGAGCTCAAGGCGCACTGGGCCTGGTGGATACGGATGCTCCTCAGGTGGTAGCAGGGCTTCAACAAGTGCAACAGCACTTGCCACAGCGATCATGGTACTGGCTGTTGTAACAGCAATATTGTTCGTCGTCGTCGTCGTCGTAGTCGTCGTCGTTGCAGCGAGTAGCAGCAGCAGCAGCCGAGCAGTAGAAGTAGCAGTAGCAGTGACAGTGGCAGTAGCGGCAGCAGTAGCCGTAGCAGCAGCAGCGCAGGGGCAGCATCAGCAGCAGCAGCAGTAGTACCTGTGGCCGTCGTTCGTCTTTGTCATCGTCTTAGCAACAGCAGCAGCTTCAGCAAGAATGAGCATGAAAACTGCACTTTCCCCCGGCATCGCTATCATATGATAATATTGCAGACGAAGCTTCTGAGCTACTCTGGCACTAAATGGAGGTACTTCTTCTAAGTACTGTATTCCCCTATGTGTAGTGAGCCTAACTGGTTGGGGTCCAGGGCACCACTGGGCCGCAGTCCACGAGAGCGTCTTCTAAGCAGATGACGGGTCGGAGGCTAGAGGCCGCTGCCCGCGGGGTCTCCTCAAAGGCGTTTGTCTGCACTTTTTCTCAAGGCCTGTGCATTCTTACGACGACGACTACTACTACTACT